CGGTAGCAGGAGCGGTAGCGGTGGCATAGTGGTGGCGCAGTACGGAGAGAGGGGATGGGGATGAGAGGATGAGTAATGAAGGGAGAAGAGCGACGATAAGATCGAGAAAAGGAAGGAAGGGAGATAGGGAGTGGAAGGGTGTGGGGATCGAGGGAATGGAGGGAAGGGCGGGGAGGCCATATGAAAAAGGATTTACTTAAATGCATGCTGTCCATCATTTGCACTGTTGCACGCTCCACCCATCGGGAGACGATGATCTCGTACACATGCGCGCGCGCGCGTCCCCCCCCCCCCTCTCTCCTCTCTCTCTCTCTCTCTCTCTCTCTCTCTCTCTCTCTCTCTCTCTCTCTCTCTCTTCTCTCTCTCTCTCTCTCTCTCTCTCCTCTCTCCCTTCTCTCTCTCCTCTCCTCTCTCTCCTCTCTCCCTCCCTCCTCCCTCCTCCCTCTCTCCTCTCTCTCTCTCTCTCTCTCTCTCTCTCTCTCTCTCTCTCTCTCTCTCTCTCTCTCTCTCTCTCTCTCTCTCTCTCTCTCTCTCTCTCTCTCTCTCTCTCTCTTCCTACCTACCTATTTATTTGTGTGCATCTACCTATCACTCTCTTTATCCTTCTTTCGATGCATGTCTGCATTCATCCCTCCATCACCCCTCTTCCCTTTCTCTTAGCCTTTCGACGTGACACACACCGTTGCCGTCTCTTTGTTTACCTGCGCGCGGCCGCCGTACTCGCTCTGCCTGGACGAGTAAGGTTTCACGTTGCCTTTGTTGACGGAAAGCGGAAGTGTCCTGGGGCCTTTTACATGGGGACTGTTTTTGTTTTTGTTTTTAGTGGACTGGAAAGAGGAAAGTTTTGCTTTTATTGTGAATGTAATCAAGTCTATTTTTTAAAAATGTGATTGGGATTTTTTTGGGGGGGGCTGTATTTGTAGTGTTAAAGTGAGAGTATTGATACACAAATCAGAAGGATTTTTAAGTAATGATTTTTTTAGAACTTAACAATGTCTGTAAATTTGTTATAAACTTTAACACAGCCACTTTGTGAGCGACCCCCAGTCTCACCCTTCATGTCTCTCTTCTCTCCCCCACGCCAGCAAGAAGATCGAGAGCATCGGGAGGATGACGGCCCTGACGCAGGAGGAGGTGGTGTCCCACACGCGGACGGTGGTGCAGGGGTTGGAGGCCCTGCGGAACGAGCACAACTCCATCCTGACGGGCATCAACAACTCCATCACCTCCGCCCAGCACCACCCGCCGGACTCCAATGTCTTTTCGGAGAAGGCCGGCATCATACAGAAGTCCCTCGACCAGATCGAGCTCGGGCTCTCCGAAGCTCAGGTGAGTTAGGGTGAAGGGGTGTGGGAGGTCGTGGGGGTAGGTGAGAGTGGCATTGAAACATTCAATTATTCATTTAGGAGGATGGGGGTGACGCTCCTGGTAATTATATTATTGTTGGTATTAGTGCAATTATAAGGGAACTGCGCAATATGTTTCATGTTTCATCATCGCATCACCAACATCATCGTCGATAAGACCTTCGACGGCCGAAAAATCGAAAGAGTAAGTGAAATCCTGCGGGTGGATCCCGTAGAGTTATTTTGCGGTCGTGTCTCCCTTGGGCTGAGTATTGAAGTCGATTAATTTTCAGGCTTCTATGATCCAAGCTGTCCCTTACCCCGGTTGAGGGAAGTTAGTTAACGTGTTTCAACGCCGAGACACGTCAATTAGTTTGATTTTATGGCTCGATTATCGTCAGGATTCGATTATATATTGGCCATTAGGTGGAACGGGCGAGCAGGTTTAAGGTGATGTGTTGAGTAAAGTAATTTAACGTATGCTGGGAAATACATAAGGCTTAAAGCTGTGTAGTTGTTGAATAAGCGCGGTGCGCACTTCAATACTGTAGCACGTGTTCGTCCTTTTTTATCTTTTTTTCTCTCTGCCCTTTTTAAAAGATGTTCATATTTTTTTCTGATTCCCTTTTCCTTTGCATCTTTATCTCCTCCTGCCTTCCTTCTGTTCTTCCTTTAGTCCCCATTCCCTTTTTTATCATGCTTTCACCCCCCAACCCCTTGTATATTCTCCCTTCTCCCCACCCCCCTTTCCTGCTTCAAGTATCCCGGTCACTTTCAAACTTGTCTTTTGTGCGCAAACGCTTTCGCAACCCTTATTTGAATTATGGAAATAGGTCAAGATAGGTCAAAGAGGTCATGCACTGGTCCAGCGTTTGACATTATTTGAGGAAGGTGTTGGCATGACTCTTTTGTGTTTCAACGTTTGACCTTTTGGCAGTGGCTGATACAGGAGAATAGCCCGAGGGAGGGAGAGCACAGGGTGGAGCTAAACATCTGCATTGGAGCACTTTTCTTGGCTGCTTCTCATTACCCTGTCCTTTATTTGATCTTTTCTTTCCTCGTCTTCATCCTCCTCCTACCATTTTCTATTTTTTCTTTGCTGCTGCTGCTGCTGCTGCTGCTGCTGCTGCTCCTCCTCCTTCCTCCCTCCTCCTCCCTCCTCCTCCTCCTCCTCCTCCTCCTCCTCCTCCTCCTCCTCCTCCTCCTCCTCCCTCCTCCTCCTCCTCCTCTGACTCCTCCTCCTCTCTTCTCCTCCTCCTCCTCCTGCCTCTCTTCTCCTCCTCCTCTGCCTTCTTCCTCCTCCTCTCTGCCTTCTCCTCTCCTCCTCCTCTGCCTTCTCCTCCTCCTCCTTCTGCCTTCTCCTCCTCCTCCTCTGCCTTCTCTCCTCCTCCTCCTCTTCCTTCTCCTCTCCTCTCTCCTTCTCCTCCTCCTCCCTTCCTTCTCCTCTCCTCCTCCTTCTCCTCCTCCTCCTCTGCCTTCTCCTCCTCCTCCTCTCCTCTCCTCCTCCTCCTCTCTTCTCCTCCTCCTCCTCTGCCTTCTCCTCCTTCCTCCTCTGCCTCTCCTCCTCCTCCTCTGCCTTCTCCTCCTCCTCCTCTGCCTTCTCCTCCTCCTCCTCTGCCTTCTCCTCCTCCTCCTCTGCCTTCAACTCCTCCTCCTCTGCCTTCTCCCTCCTCCTCTGCCTTCTCCTCTCCTTCCTCTCTCCTCCTCCTCCTCTGCCTCTCCTCTGCCTCCTCCTCCTTCTCTCCTTCCTCCTCCTCCTCTCCTGCCTCTCTCTCCTCCTCTTCCTCTTGTTCTTCCTCTTCCTTTTCTTCCTCTCTTCCTCATCTCTTCTTCTCTTGTTCCTTTCCTCCTCTTCCTTCTCTTCTTCTCTTCTTCTCTTGTTCTTCCTCTTCCTTCTCTTGTTCTTCCTCTTCCTCTTCCTTCTCTTGTTCTTCCTCTTCCTCTTCCTTCTCTTGTTCTTCCTCTTCCTCTTCCTTCTCTTGTTCTTCCTCTTCCTTCTCTTGTTCTTCCTCTTCCTTCTCTTGTTCTTCCTCTTCCTTCTCTTGTTCTTCCTCTTCCTCTTCCTTCTCTTGTTCTTCCTCTTCCTTCTCTTGTTCTTCCTCTTCCTCTTCCTTCTCTTGTTCTTCCTCTTCCTCTTCCTTCTCTTGTTCTTCCTCTTCCTCTTCCTTCTCTTGTTCTTCCTTTTCCTTCTCTTGTTCTTCCTCTTCCTCTTCCTTCTCTTGTTCTTCCTCTTCCTCTTCCTTCTCTTGTTCTTCCTCTTCCTCTTCTCTTGTTCTTCCTCTTCCTCTTCCTTCTCTTGTTCTTCCTCTTCCTCTTCCTTCTCTTGTTCTTCCTCTTCCTCTTTCTCTTGTTCTTCCTCTTCCTCTTCTTCTCTTGCTCTTCCTCTTCCTTCTCTTGTTCTTCCTCTTCCTCTTCCTTCTCTTGTTCCTCCTTCTCCTCATGTTCTTCCTCTTCCTCCTGTTCTTCCTCTTCCTCCTCCTGTTCTTCCTCTTCCTCTTCCTTCTCTTGTTCCTCTTCCTTCTCTTGTTCCTCCTCCTCCTCCTCCTCCTGCCCCCCCCCCCTTCCTCCCCCCTTCTTCCACTCCTCCCTTGCCCCTTCCTCCCTCATTCCCCTTCTTCCTCCCCCTCTCCTTCCTCCCTTTTCTCCCTTTGTGGATGAGCTGGCCATGACCTAGGAACCAAGTGATTAGATTTGGTTGTAAACTTAAGCCTTTTGTAACTGCAGCCCTAAGGGCAGTTAGGGGAACTGTCGTCATCGTCATCGTCATCGTCATCGTCATCGTCGTCGTCGTTGTCGTCATCGTCATCGTCATCGTCGTCGTCGTCGTCGTTGTCGATGTCGTCGTCGTCGTCGTCATTATCATCATCATCATCATCATCATCATCATCATCATCATCATCATCATCATCATCATCATCATCATCGTCATTATCATCATCATCATCATCATCATCATCATCATCATCATCATCATCATCATCATCATCATCATCATCATTCATCATCATTATCATTATCATTATCATTATCATTATCATTATCATTATCATTATCATTATCATTATCATCATCATCATCATCATCATCATCATCATCATCATCATCATCATCATCATCATCATCATCATCATCATCATCATCATCATCATCATCATCATCATCATCATCATCATCATCATCATCATCATCATCATCATCATCAATATTAATTATTTTTGTTATTAGTATTACTGTTATTTTTATTATTGTCTTTATAATTATTGTTGTTGTTTGTATTATTGATGATAATGATGATGGTCATGGTGATGATAGTGATATTGATTGTATAATTAATAGTGATAGTGATAGTGATAGTGATAATGATGATTATGATGATAGTGATAATGATAGTGATAGTAATAGTAATGATAATTGTAATAGTAATAATGATATAGAAATAGTAATAGTAATAATAATAATAAGAATAACAATGATAATTATAGTAACAGTAGTAGTAGTAATGATGATGATGATGATAATAATGATAATGATAATGATAATTATAGTAATGATAATAGTAATAATGATGATAGTGACAATGATAATGATAGTAATAACAGTAATATTTGTTATTATTATTATAATCATTATATTTGATAATGATTGTAATGATAGTGATAATGATAATGATTATGATAATCAGTATCTTAATTGTTATTGTTATTATTGATTATTAATTTGCTATTATTAATTATTGATTTGTTATTATTATTGTTATAATTATTGTCATTATTATGATAATAATAATTATTATTATTACTATTATTATTATTATTATTATTATTATTATTATTATTATTATTATTATTATTATTATTATTATTATTATTATTATTATTATTATTATTATTATTTATTTATGTATTACAATTATTATTATAGTTCTGAAAATGATTACGATTTTATGTTAATGTTAATTTTCATTATTATTATTATTATTATTATTATTATTATTATTATTATTATTATTATTATTATTATTATTATTATTATTATTATTATTATTATTATTATTATTATATTATTATTATTATTATTTATTATTATTATTATATTATGGTTATGGTTATGGTTATATTATGGTTATCTATCGTTATTATTATTATATTATTATGTTATATGGTTATTATTGGTTATGGTTATCGTTTATGTTATGGTTATGGTTATGGTTATGTTATGGTTATGTTGTGGTTATGGTTCGTTATGGTTATGGTTATGGTTGTGGTTATGTGGTTATGTTATGGTTATGGTTGTGGTTATGGTTGTGGTTATGGTTGTGGTTATGGTTGTGGTTATGGTTGTGGTTATGGTGGTTATGGTTTATGGTTTGGTTATGGTTATCGTTTATGTTATGGTTATGGTTGTTATGGTTATGGTTATATGTTATCGTTATGGTTATGTTGTGGTTTATGTTATGGTTATCGTTATGTTATGGTTATCGTTATGGTTATCGTTATGGTTATCGTTATGGTTATCGTTATGGTTATCGTTATGGTTATCGTTATGGTTATGGTTATGGTTATCGTTATGGTTATCGTTATGGTTATCGTTATGGTTATCGCTATGGTTATCGCTATGGTTATCGCTATGGTTATCGCTATGGTTATCGCTATCGTTATCGTTATTATTATTATTATTATTATTATTATTATTATTATTATTATTATTATTATTTATTATTTATTATTATTATTATTATTATTTTCATTATCATCATTATCATCATTATCATTGTCATAGTTATTGTTATTAATATTATTGTCATTATTATGATTATTATATTTTTTTTGTTATTATAATTTTTATATTTTTTTTGTTATTATAATTTTTATATTTTTGTTATTATTATTGTTATTATTGCTATTGTTGTTATTGTTTTTATTATTGATATTGTTATTATTATCATTTTTATAATTGTTATTGGTATTGTTGCTGTTGTTTTTATTATTATTAATATTTATTAATATTATTTTTTTTTTATAGTAGATATATCTGTAAAAGTATGCATATTGTTGATATCAATACTGATTTTTAGTAAAGTACCATTATTACCATTTCATTACTGTTACATTGTTTATTTAGTTATGAAGCAAATTTGAAACATATGAGCTTAGCAAAGAATGTTTTGAGCCCACTGACACTGAATTCTTTTCAGATTATGCTGGCACTGGCCTCCCACCTGCAGACGGTTGAGGCTGAGAAACAGAAGCTGCGTGCACAGGTTCGGCGACTTTGCCAGGAGAACGCGTGGTTGAGGGACGAGCTGGCCTCCACCCAGCAGAAGCTGCAGGCCTCTGAGCAGCATGTAGCACAGCTGGAAGAAGACAAAAAGCACCTCGAGTTTATGTCCACCATCAAGAAGTACGATGCAGACGTACAGGTGGGTACATAGGGCATGAGGAGAGGGACTTGCTTCTCGTCTTGCTGGGATGATTTTGATCTCGTGATGTTCGACTTCTGCAGTTTTTTTTCATTTTTAATTTCAGATCTGGAGTATCTCATGTTTTAATTCTTTTATTGTTAGTTGTAGAATACAGGTGATTGGATTTTTGTTTCTGTTATTAATCACTTATTTTGTTTTAATGTGTGTCATATGTGTAATACTTTGGCATTGATTTCCAGGACTCAGAATCATCAATGGAAGAAAAGAAAGACAAAAGTGATGATCCCGTTGTAGACCTATTTCCAGACGACGATGCCGATGACAGGGCTGGTAAGGCTTTGACATACCTCTCCTCCCCCCAAGTCCCTACTCCCACTCCCACATCCACTCCCACTCCCACTCCCACTCCCACTCCTCTTTGTCCCACACCTAGCTGTATCCCCATTCCCACTCCCACTCCCATTCAAGCTACTACTCTAACTCCTAGTCTTACTCCTCCTCCCATGCCCACTTATTTACCTGAGCTTTATTTCTTTTACTTTTCAGGACTTCTTCTCACTCTCATGACCTACCTCCTGTGACGTTCTCCCCACCTTCCTTTATATGATTTTTGAAATTTTTGTTCTCCTCCTCCTTTGAATTGTTTTCAAGTTTTCCTTGGAATTCTTGCACACCTCACTGCAAGTTGCCTTGTTTTTGCACCATGACTGGCAGGAGTCAATTCTCCCCTAC